CAGTTCAAAAGTTGCAGGTAAATCTAATATTCATGGCGTGTGTGAATGAAGTTTGTTTAACGATTCCTTCGACCACAATTTGCTATTTTTAACATTTCAGTTTATGAATGTAAAATTTCCTTACTTGGTTCAATATTACCTATATATCAAGAAAGTTAAGGAGCAAAACGTATTTCTTTATTATAGACTGCAAAATAAATTGATTTTTTCATATCTCAACAACAATGACCAAATATGCAATTGCAATGAAAATATGCAACCAAGTTCATAAATTTAGTGACAATTTTATGGCCCAAAGATCATACGAAGTATAACATCATGTATTATATTCAAAATTTGTTGGTGATTTTTACAACAAATTTAACCTTTAAAACAATAAAAGGAAAGCAAATTTGTTGTTCCGATGATAAATTGCGTACTCAGTACAATACAGTAAGCCAATCTTATTATGTCATATTAAGCAAAGTAAAGATATTTAATAAAAATGGTGGTTACAACCTTGTAATAGTTGTACTTTTTCAACTAAAGTTGATAGGTAATAATTAATTATCGGAGTCCCACCTGGTTAGTTTCACATAGCAATATCATTAATTCAGTATTCACTCTTGTGGATAAAATGAAGATATGTGAACTGTCAAAGCATTACAATGGACATTTGCCATTGGTAATGGAGCAAAGTGTAAAATGTTGGAGACATTTATATGTGCTGATTCTTGATGGATGCAATAAAAGGATATGGCTTTATTATATTTAAATTTCTTATTATTGCCAGAAGATACATACGACTTTTTACTAGTGTCTAATGTTATTAAATTTATTACATATGTAAAATACTGACGGTGTTTGGTTTACGTACCATACTATTGCTATCAAGGCTTAATATTGTTTAGACCATAAATGCCAATTTTCATGACTGGAGCGGAACATCGTTTTGCGTATAAAATTTTGCATCATCAAGTTAAAAATAGATCGTATGCATACATACTTCCCGTTAAAAAAAATTAGATCATTCCATTCTGTGTTCTCTCCGCTAGCTCTAAAGAAAACCGAATTATTTGATGTCTGAGTGAAATATTAAGTAAGTAATTAATTTTCTATAATAACGGAACAAGTAATTAAAACCAATTAAATTGTTTCCACCTGCACGAAGGTAGCCGTCTTAATATTTATCAGGCTCTTTTTTGCAATGGCAAATTGAAAATAAATGCATGTAGTGGTATAACATAATTGCTACGATTTTAAAATGAATACGTTTCCGTATAGAAGATATGGTTTTAGATGGCGGGTATCTACAGGGTTACTTACCTATGGTGTCTGTGCATTCAATGAACGCAGCTGCATTTCGACTTTAAGCATTGTTGTATATAGCTTCTTAATTCATTAAAAAGGAATTACTTTGGAGAGGGCCGCAAATACGGTCGGAATGCAACATAAAAACTAACTTTTAACCCTGTAGATAAGTACACAAATTAGGGCAGATATAACAAGATTGTAATATGTTAACTACGATGATTTCCTTTCGCTTATAACGATGGTGGTTTCAACCATGGACATACAAAGTATGTACCTGTTTGACTACCATTATTCCCGGGATACCAATAAATGGTAATCAGAATAATACAAGATATCCTGTTCCTTTCTTAACAGGGCAGAGTCATTAATACTTATATCCGGTTTAATTGTAATGGCTTTCGATTTTTAAAGTATATGATGATTTATCTGTTTTTTTTTATCGTGAAATTACTCTGCTAGACTTTGAGATACTCAATCAAAATGACTTTCACTGTTAACAAGATAAAACGTGCAAAGGATGTGTCACCGATCGGTTAGGAAAATATCTACGTATAACTTGAAATTAACTCATTGTGATCTTCTAGTAAAATGAGTTCAGTCTATAATTCCCGCAAACAACTATGTTTGAAGTTATGCATCTCATATCTGGTACAGAGGAAAATTGACTTGATGAACAGTCGGATTGAACCTATATTGGTTGTTATACAACTGCATTTTTAACTGCAAATGTTATAAAAAAAAACCTTTCGAATGTGCGGTGCTCACTAGGAAGCATCAAAGTCAACTCTCGAATCCAAAAATGGCAGATAATTAAATATTCTACGTATTTTACCCATAAATCGCTGATGAACCTTCTGTTCAGCCAAATGTTAATGGCAAGCCGAAATAGAGTTCTAGGCAAAGATCAAAACGTGTTCGTATCCTTTATTGGATTGTATGGGAAACAGCATAACATTGTGTCGTATTCTTATCACGTACAATGAGTACAACATCTGCACCTCAGTGAGGATGAATTTATGTCACTAGT